AAAAAATTCAAATTCAAATTCAAATTCAAGAAAAGGGACTGGCCCTTCTCAATCTCGACATACTTTTAACAATCTTTGGACCGTTATGTTATTATCCACTTTTAATGTCAATACTTTTTAATTATATCTTAATGTTAGTATTTTTTTGATATAGTGTAAAAACTGATGTGTATTGCTGGTCTTTGACTGTAATAAAGATTTTACTTACTTACATTAGCTATTGTCATTCAAAAGTGTCTTCTAAACTGAGGTTTTCGTGCTGTATAAACAGAAATAAGAAATAAGCTGCATATGGTAGTTAAAATGTCATTTGATAGTCTCCTTTTCACAATCTGTTCTGTTAATGTAATTTTAGGATAGAGTTTTCTTGGATTAATAGTGATTGGTTGTTAACAGAAGTGATGTTGCTGAATGCTTCAAATAGTAGCTAAAATATTTTTTCCGTGCATCTTGGAAGCCCTGGGCTTAAAAGGAAACTGTTTTAGCCATTTTTTTTTAATCTATGTGGCTATTTACACTCGCTTTGCATTTGATGTTCCTGCATTTCTCATTTAGAATCAAGTTTCTGATGATGTGTTCTGCAGAGATACATAAATTAATTCTTAGAAATACATGTAGGCTACATAAAGTCCAGTTGATGCCATTGTGTAAAGTGCCTTTAAATGATCTGTATTGACTGCTTTTTTCTTTATCTTTTCTATTTTTCAGTGTTCCCAGCAAAGAGATTATGTTTTGCTGGCCATTCGAACTCCTGTAAAAGAGGAAGAAAGTAACAGTAGTGTAAACCACCATACAGACTTGTCTACTATTGATGAAGAATGGATAGCAGCACATGCCATACAAGTAATAAAAATGGTCTTACTTTGCCGTAGAAAAGGAATTTTTTTGCAAGCCTGTCTCAGCTTCATAATGATTGTTTTTTTTTTAAAGTTAATGCTGTCTTCTACTGTTTTTAGACATTAATTTAAACCCAGAACACTCATAAATATTACAATTATGCCAAAACTTTGCCATATTGAATATGGCTTTGTTGCTATATTCCTAGGTATTCTAGGACATTTTCAGGTGGGTGAGATGTCCTGTCATATAGACATAAGAGCCGAGGTGGCACAGTGGTTAGGGTGCAGTACTGCAGGCCACTTCAGCTGACTGCTATCTGCAGTTCAGCGGTTCTAATCTCACCGGCTNAGCCTGCAGTGCTGCATTTAACCACTGCGCCACCTTGGCTCTGACAAATGGTTGTCCAATCTCTTCTTAAAAAACTTCCCTGTTGGAGCACTCACCACAGAGGTAACCCTGATTCTTTGTTCTAACTGTCAGGAAATTTCTCCTTAGTTCTCAGTTGCTTCTCTCCTTGATTAATTTCCACCCGTTGCTTCTTGTTCTGGTGGTTTGGAGAATAGTTTGAGTCCCTCTTCTTAGTGCCAACTCAAATACCTAGGTACACGGTGGCTCAGTGGCCAAGACACTGAGCTTGTCAATCAGAAAGTTCAGCAGTTCGGCGGTTCGAATCCCGAGCACCGCGTAAGGGAGTGAGCTCCCATCACTAGTCCCAGCTTCTGCCAATCTAGCGGTTCGAAAGCATGTAAAAATGCAAGTAGAAAAATAGAAACCACATTTCGTGGGAAGAGTTCCATGTGCTTTCGGCGTTTATTCATGCCGACTACAGAGACATCTTCGGACAGCGCTGGCTCTTCGGCTTTGAAACGAAGATGAGCACGAGGGAAACCTTTACCTTTATAAATACCCAACTCCAAAGTATTCCCAGCTGAGATTTAATTTGGATTATTTCCTTCGCACCAGCCCTTGATTTTATGTAAACATTTTGCAACAGCTTCTTATTTGCTGTCTTTACATGGAAACATCAAAAGAGCTTCCACTGATTTAATTCTCGCTGAAGTATACCGCACACAAACAAAATTGTTTTTGATGTTGCCCTGAATGTATTTATTCATAATTTTAATTTAAGATCATTAGAACTAGCAATAGTCTAATTGCACGCCTGTAATTTACTTGTAACTATCATTACAAGGTTTTTCTCTCTGCTCAAGGAAGATGGAGCTTATTTTCAGGAAACTCTACAGGCGGAATATTATAAATACCATTTATCTTAAATGTTTAGACTGCAATGTTTAGAAATAAGGTGCATTTTGAGACATCGCACCAAAGAAAAAATTAATACACCAGGAGGGATTCATTGATCCAAATATACAACGAGGACTGGAGATTTTCTGGATACTAAGTTCGTTTGAATCAGCATGTCAAATCTAACCTTGTTCCCTTCTAGCTACTCCTTAATTTAAATGCATTTCATCCGCCATCTCAATTTCTTGGCTAATGTGTTTAAAAATGTCTGCGTGAAAACTGAAAGATGTTTTTTTTTAATATGCACAGTCAATTTTCGTTATTCACGGCGGTTAACATTCTGTAAAGTTGCCGCAAACACTGAATTAGCAACCAGTGAAACTTCAACCCTACATGTTGAGTTTTCACTCCTTTGCTTGTCCATGAATGACTGCAAGTATTGACTTTGTGGGTATAAATAAAATTTGACGTTGTAGGCAAATTCATAAACATAGAATCTGTGAATAGCGGGAACCAGTTGTATATTTTAGCAAAGGCTGAATTCTGAACTACTAGAAATGTTACATATATGAGATGCCCAGATGCCAAAAGCCACAAGACTTTTTTTTCCCCAAATGACAACTATTAGTCTTTTGAGACTGAAGGATGCCAAGAAGATTGACCTCCTGCACTATGCAGATACCCTACCGAAAGATTAGGAAGGGATCGATGTTTGCTGTGTTGGAGAAATAACAGATATGTATTCAAGGACATATTTATGTATGTACTTAGCAGCGAAGACACAAAACGGTCTGGTGGCGTGTAACACCGCACGGGGAGAGGGACAGGGAAGGGAAAGAGAACACCCCCCCCCCAGTCTATTTTATCTGCCCGCTACAGAAAGCTCTTAAGAAAACCTCCCGTGGTTTCCTGCAGGTTGTTAGAATCACAGGTCATAGACAAGAAGGGATCCTGCCGGGCTCAGCAAATTGAATGCAATTTTAGTCATTTGAAAGCTTAAGTGGCCCTACGCACCAGTGGTGATCACGAGGAAGATGGAATTGGACATGCAAAAAAAAGAAAAGAAAAGAAAAGAAAGGAAGGAAGGAAAAGACTTAAAATGGGGAGAGAACTGTGGGGGGGGGGGGAAGAAGACCAAAATCCAGGTTAAATAGACATGCATATATATGTACAACCCAAACTGTAAAAAAAAAGAGAGAGAGAGGAAGTATAAATTGGCTGATATACATCAATTGAATGCAGGAACAGGAGATGAAAAAGTCCATTTTAGTGGCCCTTCTAGTTGACCGTTCCTTCCTTCCTTTCTCTCTATTCTTCTATCTTCCTTCCTTTTCTCTCTATTCTCCTACCTTCCTTCCCTCCTTCCTATCTTCTTTCCTTCTTTCCTTCTTTCCTTCTTTCCTTCTTTCCTTCTTTCCTTCTTTCCTTCTTTCCTTCTTTC